GAAAATCTTTTGGTGGAGAGAAATATTTTATCACCTTTATTGATGATTTTTCACATTATGGGTATGTTTATTTATTGCATCAAAAATCTCAAGCTATAGATGTCTTAAAGGTGTATATAAATGAGGTTGAGAGACAATTAGACAGAAAAATGAAAATTATCAGGTATGATAGAGGTGGTGAATATTATGGAACTTATAATGAATATGGGCAATGTTCAGGCCCATTTGCTAAATTCCTTCAAACTAATGGCATATGTGCTCAATACACTATGTCAGGAACACTACAACAAAATGATGTTGCAGAAAGGTGAAATTGTACTCTAATGGAAATAGTTAGGAGTATGATGAGTAATTCTTCTTTACCCTCATCATTGTGGATGCATGCTTTAAAGACCGCTACATATTTATTAAACAGGATTCCTAGTAAGGCAGTTCCAAAGACTCCTTTTGAACTGTGGACAGAAAGAAAACATAGTTTAAGGCACCTGCGTGTTTGGGGCTGCCCAGCGAAAATAAGGTTATATAATCCACATGTAAAGAAACTGGACTCAATAACAACCAGTGGTTTCTTGATTAGTTATCCAGAAAAGTTTAAAGATAGATTTTATTATCCTAATCACAGTACAAGAGTTATTTAAATGGGAAATGTCAATTTCATTGAAAATGGTGAAGTTAGTGTGAGTTTGGAACCACATAAAGTGGAGATCTAAGAAATTAGGGTTCAAGTTCCTTTACCCAAAATTTCTTCTCAAGTTGTTATTCCCACAGTTGTTGAACAGTTTAACAACTTACAAGAACAACAAATATATGATCAAATACCCCACAATGAAACTGTCACTAATGAACATGCATTAGATGAACCACATGAAGTAGTACCTAAAAAGTTTCAACGACAAAAACGGTCTGCTATTTTCGATGATTATGTGGTTTATCTTTATGAATCCGAATTTGACTTAGGAGTCAATGAAGATTCAGTTTCATTTTCACAAGCCATAAAAAGTGCAAATTCTTCTAAATGGTTAGATGCAATGAAAGATGAGTTGAAATCGATGGATCACAACAAAGTCTGAGATATCGTTGAATTGCCTGAAGGTTGTAAAAGAGTCGGGTGTAAATGGGTCTTTAATACTAAGCGTGATTCAAATGACAATATTGAAAGATATAATGCCAGACTTGTTGCCAAAGATTTCACTAAGAAAGATGGCATCGACTATACAGAAACATTTTCTCCGGTTTCTAAGAAAGATTCATTTAGAATTAGCATGTCACTAGTAGCTCATTATGATTTAGAGTTACACCAAATGGATGTGAAAACTGCCTTTCTGAATGGGAATTTAGATGAAGAGGTCTACATGAGTCAACCTGAAGGATTTTTGGTTGAAGGAAAGGAACACATGGTGTGTAAATTTAAGAAATCAATATACGGACTTAAGCAAGCTTCCCAACAATGGTATCTTAAGTTTAATGATATCATCACGTCCTTTGGATTTAAGGAAAACATTGTTGATCGGCGTATATATCTAAAGGTCAGTGGGAGCAAAATATATTTCTTATTATGTATGTTGATGACATCTTGTTGGCTACTAATGATCTTGGCTTATTATATGAAACCAATAATTTTCTCTCTAAGAACTTTGAGATGAAAGATATGAGTGAGACATCCTATGTGATTGGAATTAAAATATTTCATGATAGATCATAAGGATTGTTAGGGCTGTCTCAAAAAACATATATCGAAAGAGTTCTTAAGAGATTAAATATGGAAGGTTGCTCATCAAGTGTTGCTCCAATTCAGAAAGGAGATAAATTCAACCTTATGCAGTGTCCAAAGAATGATTTGGAACGTAAACAAATGGAAGAAATTCCTTATGCATATATTGTTGGAAGCTTAATGTATGCTCAAACTTGTACCAGACCAGACATTAGCTTTGTTGTCGAGATGTTGGGCATGTATCAAAGTAATCCAGGAATATATCAAAAGCTGCAAAGAAAGTTTTGAGGTATCTACAAGGAACAAATGACCACATGCTCACTTATAGAAGATCTAAAGATCTTGAAGTGATAGGATATTCAAATTCAAATTTTGTTGGATGTGTTGATACCAGAAAATCAACATTTGGCTATTTGTTCCTTTTGGCTGAAGGAGCAATCTCATGGAAAAGTGTGAAGCAGACTATCACAGCTGCTTCCACTATGGAAGCTAAATTTGTGGCTTGCTTCGAAGCTACAATTCATGATTTATGGCTGCGGAATTTTATTTCATGACTTGAAATTGTCGACAGTATTGTCAAGCCGTTGAAAATTTATTGTGATAACTCCGCAGCAGTCTTTTTTTTCCAAAAATAACAAGTATTCCAAAGGTGCTAAACACATGAAATTAAAATATCTTGTCGTTAAGGAAGAAGTTTAGAAACATAGGGTGTCAATTGAGCATATTAACACTAATCTCATGATTGCAGATCATTTGACAAAAAGGTTATCACCGAAGACATTTAACGAACATGTCGTGAGAATGGGCATTACCAAAACCCTTTATTAGTTTTATGCTCCTTATATTTTGACATTTTGGGCCCAATTTTTCTTGTTTCTGATATTTTTAAATCTTGTTTTTATTGTTAGTATACACTTTATGTTGCATGATGTTCAACAACATTTGTCTTTTAATAGACATTATGAGACCATAATGTTAATTCTCATTATGTTAAGTATGTAATTGATATTGTGATACATGGAAGGGACTGTGTCGATAAATTGATGCACAACCGTCATGATTCATATTAATTTCATACTTATTAAATAATTTATGATTTAACCAATATAAAGAATGATTTATCTTACAATATGTTATGCACTATTAAAATTAAGTAAGTCAAGTGGAAGAAGGTTATTTTTTTATTTATGACTCACATTTATTTTAATAACTTATGAAATTTATTTTTGATAACTTAAGTTATTAATTTTCTTAACTCATAACTTATGTCATAAATTATGACAATTTATGATATTTATTTTGATAACTTAAGTTATTTATTTTCTTAACTCATAACTTATGTCATAACTTATGACAACTTATGATATTTATTTTTGTAACTCATATAACCCCTAAAATAAATAAATATTACTAACTTATGTCATGATTTTAATAATAAAAATCAATTAATTTATTAAATTATCATAAATCATATTGGTTAGTAACCCCCTTGATAGATGGTGATTAAATAGAGCATGAATTTGAGAATGAGTCCTCTCTCCACCTGACACACCCCGTATATTTCTCTCCATCAGAAAGTACATAAAGTTTCAAGGGATTAGAGAGATAAACTCCATCTCTTGAAGATCAAATTTCTTCATGATCAAATTTGTTCATCATGAATACAGGTATGTGTCACTTTATTTTATATATGTAAAAATCATGAATTTAAAAGATCTTGGCAATTATGTATTTTTTTTTAATTTGTGTCATAAAATTGAAAGATGAATTTTCTAACAAATCTTAACTCTTAATCCTTTAATATTTCCAAGCTCTAACAAATGGATGCACATCCTACAAATTTCTCACCAATTTTGCGAGAAACTAAAAATGCAGAAAAATCTACTAATAACATAGTTTAGAAGTAGGAGTGTAAACGAGTTGAGTTTGAGCGAATTTAATTTGTGTTCTGCTCATTAAAAGTATCATTATTCGTGTTCGGCTCGTTTATATATTGTTGACCTCACTTTTGGTTGAGGTC